GTATTCATTAGGAATAACTTTCATTGATATCAAACATGTTTATGATACAATCCATTTATCCAATTCAGACAGCATAACTGCAATGAGTGTAAATTTAGCAATAGAAATCCACCTCATTATGGTCTAAAAGAAAAATAGGATGGCATTAAGTGTAACTTTTGGGCGATCTTTAAATGGATTTTTAATGTTTGGCCTTCACATGTGTGTTTATATTGATGCTTAAAGTTCTCCATTAGTTGTTTTTGTGAATTTTCAGTGCTATATTTTGAGAGACAAAGCCGATTTTGAACACTATTTTTTGCATTTAACTGATTTTTTGTTGCTACTGATCATATATGCTATATTTTAAATGAAACATGTTCTGTTTTGTATATTTTAATCTGCACACCATATATGCACTGATTTAGAAAGCATTGTATGCTGTTTTCACCGTTTACATAGTGAGGCATTAAATTCTTATCTCATTTCACTCAACTCACTCAAATTATACCTTACACAAATGTTATGCCCCTACAGACACCTTAAATTCCATTTTTTGGAGCACATCTGTTCGACACTCTCATCGAGAGCACCAATGTTGGGTTAAGGAACCCGAGGGCCTAGGAAACTAGGCAGAAGAGTATCGAACTAACTCGAGAATGCACAAATTTGGGGTCAAGTAAATTGAGGGTACTATTGTGCTTGTTAGAACGTAAGTCCCCCTTCCTTTGGAAGGGGTTTATATGCGAATTACAACATAGGGTTCCGACCGTTGGTCCAGAGTCCAACGGTCTGGGCCCACTAAGATTGGGTTGTTCACAACCATATCATTATCCCTAGGATTGCTATGCAAAGTAGGTTACAAGGGTGGCTAGAACAACTCTGCCAGAGGTATGGAAGGGGTCCAATCGTGGGCCCCTTGATCTTGACTGTTTAGCCAGCTTCCTTGTTCGGATCTGGTCTGCTGTTGTCCCGGCCAAGGCCGAGCGGGTGCCTTCAGAAGTCCCTTGGTGGAAAGCCAGCCGAGGGTGGTTCTAGGACGACCGACCCTCCCGAGGCCGAGCGTGTACCGTTGCCGGGGTGGCCTTCCTAGGTCTTCCGTTTATTCTTGCTTTGGTTCGGCTAAGTGGGCCTTAGCGAGGTTGGGCCGGATACCCCCACTCCCGGGTATCCATCACCAGGATTGCAGCCACACGGGTCGTCTTCTTAACCATGGATGACTTTTAAACACAGATCTGAGACTCAATCTGAGGATGGCATATTGAGATTGGTTCTGAAATTGCCCCGTAAGGAGTGTTTTACTCACATGTAGTACTAATCTCATGAGGCTGCAGAGGGGGTGCGGGTTTTCTAAGGGTGGTTTCCCCTCCCTGCATGCCTATGATTTGCATGATTTCAGGCTGCCCTTCAAATATAACAGCCCTTTCGAAATGCAGTACGTACTAGTAGTTTGAAAAGAATGCTACAAGTATACCATGCTTACTGTTTCTCCACCAATCTTGTTAGGCTATGAAGATATTATAATATTCTTAGGAGATTCATGGGTTGAGGAAGTTTGATCTGTACTTTGGCAAGGCAAATCAAGAAGAAACTGAGGTTTGCATCCATGGCTGTATCTTCTTTCCTTTACCCATT